TAATGATGTGCATGTGTAACAGGGTCAGTGGATTTTTAATACATAATATACCATATATAATGTTATTTTATTGTTATTATATGTATTGTTATAATTACACAAAGTTTGGTCTGCCTCTCAGCTGTGTGGAACTTTTGCTGGGGGATCCTGGTACCCCTACATACACTTTTAGCCCCCCACCCCGTCCTATAACTGAGCTTTTCCTGCCTTACCTTTCCTTTTTTGTTCATGTGTTCTGTACGAGAAGCAAGTGAGATTGTACTGTTGTAATTTGTGTGTTTTAATGTGATATAATTATAGTTGTGGGTTCACTTTCCGGGTCTAATATATTTTTGTATTGTTTGGTTTCTGTAGGGGTACAGATTTTGTGAGTTGACGGAAGATTTTTGTATGTGTTTACATCGGCTGTCAAGCTGTCAAGGTCTTTAATAAACGGAGATCGCCTCCAAAAGAAGGTGTTCATCTCGGCTTTGAATACACACCGCAGAGAACTGAGTCCACTGGTTACATGAAATCTGCCACGATATCAGGAAGAGAATTGTGGACCTCCACAAGTCTGGTTCATCCTCGGGTACAATTTCCAGATGCCAGAAGGTTCCACGTTCATCTGTTCACACAATTAGACGCAAGTATAAACACCATGGGAATGTCCAGCCATCAAAACGCTCAGAAAGGAGACGGGTTCTGTGTCCCAGAGATGAATGTGTTTTGGTTGAAATGTGCATCTTCACAAGCAAAAGACCTTGTGAAGATGCTGCTGAAGCTGGTCAGAGAGTGTCTTTATCCACAGTGACACCAGTCCTGTACCGACATGGGCTGAAAGGATTCTCAGAGAGGAAGAAGACGTTACTCCAAAAGCAACATAAAAAGCAGATTACAGTTTACAAATGAACCCAGGGAAAAAGACCTTCATGTTTAGAGACATGTCCTGTGGTCTGATGAAACTAAAATTGAACTGTTTGGCCTTAATGACCATCGTTACATTTGGAGGAAAAAGGGGGAAGTTTGCAAGCCTGAGAACACCATCCCAACTGTGAAGCACGGGGGTGGCAGCATCATGTTGTGGGGGTATTTTGCTGCCTGAGGGACTGGTGCACTTCATAAAATAGATGGCACCATGAGGAAAGAACATAATGTGGAAATATTGAAGCAACATCTCAAGACATCAGCCAGGAAGTTGAAGCTTGGGCACAAATGGGTCTTCCAAATAGACAATGACTCTATGCATACCGCCAGATTAGTTACAAAGTGGCTTGAGGACAACAAAGTCAATGTTTTGGAGCGGCCATCACAAAGCCCGGATCTTTATCCTGTAGAATATTTGTGGGCAGAGCTGAAAAGGCTGCCAACAAACCTGACTCGGTTACATCAGTTCTGTGTGAAGGAATGGGCAGAACTTTATCAAACTATTGTGAGAAGCTTGTGGAAAGAAACCCGAAACGTTTGACCCAACCCATACAGTTTAAAGGCAGGAGAGAGGGATCAAATGAGGTTACAGTCAGAAACAAAAGACGGGCTGAACACTAAGAGGCGTAAGAAGGAGGCATAGCCAGAATTATGATACTGTACCATTATTACCAGTATCACTTTCCCATAAGCTATTGTGTACATTGTGAAATCACTGCACAAAACTTTTTTGTTAATCCTGTTAAGGAAACCACAAAGGATTTGAAGTCACAGGTGATCACAGGAAACTGTAACTATGAATATGAATAAATCCCCCCTGTGGGAGCCACAAATATTGTTGATTTGAGTATTTATCACCGGGTTAATAGTTTATTTGGCTGTCATAGTGATGCGGAGCATGGGTCACGTGGGTGTAGTTGGTGACAGGTTGAGCTGTCAAAAGGGCTGACAGTCAGTCATGCGATCGTTTTGCCAGAGAGAGGAGGGCTGGGTAGTCGTAATTTTTGTTGACCGCCACGCTTGATTTATTTACGCGAAAGTGTCTTTAATTTTTTAAGTTTACTGTACTGTGAAATGCCATGCGAATCACCAATTACGTTTACTAAAAGGAGAAGACGTATTGGACTTTTTGTGCATTATTTAGGAAGCGACAGCGTGTCATACAACTAGACAGAACCCATCCTCGGCCTCTCTGGCAACTGTGGAAAAACTACAAAATGATCGCAAAGAAGTTGTCAATAAAATTAAAGGATTGATACCAAAAATAAGAATTTATCAGAAATAAAAGAGTTCATGGGGGATTTACAGGCATTGAGTGAGAAGGCCTCTTATTCACACAATGAGCTGCTGCCTCTGTTACCTGAGGAACAAACCATAAGACAGGAGGAATGGTTTTCAAGTATTATGAAATACAGCAAAACATTTCTACAGGACACCAAATGGTGGATAAATGAGACAAATGGGTTTTATTGAGAGCAATGAAACCAATGAAACAAATATCCCATCAAACACTGGAGTGGAAATGGAGGACGATATCAAGCCAAATGATTGTGTTTCAAATGTTGGAAGTCACAGAACTTCTTCATCAAGATCTTCAACTTCATCTGTTCGTCTGATGGCTGAAGCTGAATTGGCAGCCTTAACCATGAAGCAGAAATTGCTGAATAAAAAACATGCACTTGAATAAGAGGAAGAGTGTCTGCATAAAAGAAAGGAGAGGCTACAACTGGACACTGAAATAGCAGAAAAAATGGCACCACTTAATGTTCTCAAAACTCAAAGCACAACGAGCAGGAAAAGATCATCTCAGGTTTCAGATGGAATGAAGTCATACATAGAAAAAGGACAAGTCATACAGCCACTCAATGCCAATGCAGATTCATTTATTCCTCCTGTTCCTGAAAAACAAAATACACCAGGTAATGCTGAAATTCATCTTGGAGCAAAGCAGAAAATCAAGCATGCAACAGTGGGGACTGAACTTTCTCCAAATCATCACACCCAACAGTATTCAACATCTCATTCAAACACTTCTGATCAATATCGACACAATACATTTCATGCAAATGCTTCTGTGGGCCTGGAATCACAAAATGATGTCATTGGAATAATGAGGAAACAAAACGATATAACAGCTCCCTTGATCCAACAGCAATGCCTCTCTGTCCTACCAAAGAGAGAAATTCCTATTTTTGATGGAGATGCACTTCAGTATCACTCATTTGCTAAAGCCTTTGAGACTGGAGTTGAGTGCAAGACAAGCAATAACTGTTATCGTTTAGATTTTTTGGAACAACACACAAAAGGCCATGCAAAGGAATTGGTGAGAAGCTGTCGGCACATCAACCCAGATCGTGGCTATTTTAAAGCCATATGAGGTACCTCAATAATAAGGGGCTGGTGTGTAGGAGCCACAAATATCATTGATTTGAGTATTTATCACTGGGTTTATTGTTTATTTGATTGTCATGGTGATGTGGAGCATGGCTCTAGTTGGTGTGAGATTGATAGGGAAATGATTCAGCTTGCAGGGAGCTAAGGTGAGACGAACTAGAGAATTTGCTGAGGGGAGCCAGACAGAGCAGAGCCTGGAGAGAACGTGTGTGTGGGACCCAAACGAGAGGGAGGCGAGTTAAGAAGGAAAACAGGTTTATTGGGGAATCCAGGGGAGTGAGAGGGGCACCAGGAGGCAGGTGAGGGATCCGGGGGTTGACAGTGCAGCAGGAAAACCAGTGGTGAGGGTGGTGTCTCGTGCTGGTGCTCATGAGGGGAGAGGTGAGGTCCGTGTGAAGGCTGGTGCGGGAAGCTGGAACGGCTGGAACGGAGGAGACGCTGGAAACACACAGAGAGAATGCAGGTTACTGGAGAACTTGAGATTAAGCACAAGAGAAGGCTTAGTTAGCACTAGGTGGCCTGAATGTACCACGTATTGGGCAGGCAATCGTTTGGCACTGGAGCACAAGTGAAGAGTGGTTTTATCCAGCACACTGATTGGGATGATGCACCGCAGCATCCTCCTCCAAATCAACCCCGCCCATCCTGAAACTCAAACCAGCCTTCCACCCAAAAGACACAATCACAGAAAACATGCACACCAACTAAACACGTCCATATCACAACACTCTTAAGATACCTTCCTATTTTTATTATTCAGATTTCCTGTAAGGACACCAACTGAAAGAGGGCTCAGTGTCTCTGGATCATGTCTTCCTCTTTGTTTTGCACACAGACCTGGTAAGACTTTGATCTCCATTTGTCACCGAGTGGTGGGGGTGACTGAGACAGGGTGCACCACGCCACTTTCTGTTGAGGAGCAGAAACACCAGACAATACCAGGGGAGGATCTACTGTATAAAAATAGTCCTTTATTACAAAAGTCTTTAAAAATAGACAAAAGATACTCCGGGAGATTGGTCTAAAAAGGAAAGTCCAACAGTCCGTCCGCAGCCTTCCCAAGTGAATCCTCCTCCAGTCAGTTCCCGTACAATGGAGGGCCAATCACTTTAAAAAAAAAAAAAAACAAAACAAAAAAAAGATGCACTGCAGATATCTGTCAGGGTGATCAATGCTCCATCAGTGTCCAGTTGCATGTCATGAACAACCAATAATTGTGGGTGGGTAAACTAAAAAACACAGCAAAGTAAAAGTCCAACGCAAGATGAACTGATAAACAAATAAATCACTCAAATTAAATCCACTGCAAATGAAAGCACATAAACCCAGTCCAAAAGTTACTGTAATTGTCCACATTGTAACTGATGGCAGAGATACCCAAACTGTAGCTTCTTTAATTGACTGGATAAGAAAGTACAATAAAACAATCTGGCCGCAGCAGGTTAACCGGGGATATCATGTCCAGCATGTGTTATAGCATAACTAGAGGGGTAGTAATCTGAAGGAAGGGTGGAACGCGTCCCCACCCTTTCACTTTTGCCAGAAGCTTCCCCCTCTTGCACCGTGCGTCTCCGTTGCCTCTCTGGCACGTGGCGACCTGTTCCACCGGGCAGCAGCAGCTCCTTCCGGCCAGGCAGGCCGGTAAACACGTCCTGCGTCTGCGTCGCTCCTCTCGCGCTGTCCGCCGCACTTACGACAAGATGCCTCGTGCTGTCACAGCCGTCCAACCAGCGCTTCTCCACCGCAGTTCTCCCGTGCGTCCGCTGCCGTCAGCTCAGCTGCTCTCTTCCTGCTTCGTGCCCCTCTGCCGTCACCTAAAAAGCGCAAGAAACACAAACTACCCACACCTGTGACCTAATCACACACACAGGTGCCGCGCATCCTGTGTGTCTCAGCAGGAGACAGATAAATGCATCACCAGAGTGATCTGTATTGAACATTAGTCTCCAGCCAGTGAGCTTATTTTAGTTAAACTTCTGTTAAGTTGTGTTTTTCTGCTCTTAGACAATATTTAAGAAAAAGAAAGTGGATATGTTGCGCAACATTTCCAAGAGTCACATTTTAGCTGGCTTTGTGTTTCTTTCCGTCTTTTTGGGGTAAGTTTTTGTTTTTTATTTTTAACTTTAAAAAAAAAGTTGCCTGCTGGTGTTGTGACTGTTGCTCTTTTTCTTGCAGTGACTTTTAAAGAGTGATTTATGTTGTGAGAGGGTGTATTTTAAACCCAAACTGAACTAAGTAGTTGAGTGATGCAAAATGACAACAGTATCGTTAATGCAACAGCTTTGATCGCTGAAATTGCAAATACTACTCAATGGAAGTGATATACACGATCAGAAGAAGGTAAATATCATGTTGTATTCACAGACCATAAAGTTTTTAGATTAGCTTCAACTGTAAATAAATAAATGTACATGTAAGACAAGTGGATATAAGATGAGGTGGATGATGTATGCAGTATATACACAGTATAAACTGCTTGGCATCTCTTCCTGTCTGGTTTAGTTGCATTCAAAATAACAAATTGTAGCCCTAAATGTGTTTTTTAATCTCCTAGTTTATTTTGTGTATTTGAGGGTTAATAAAAACCCAAATTCAATTGCTATACAATGAAATCTACAGAGAAGTGACAAAATTGCAGCAGTTTTCCATTTCTAGATGTAAAATACCACTTGTAGAAATGTGACTAATTGACAATACAAAGTACCTGTGATCATTATTGAGTGACAGTTATTAAGTTCCTTTTGATCTATCCATGAGCCATTATACAATTACAGAAGTACTATTGTTATGACAGTGAGAAGCCACGATAATCATTTTGTTATGAGGATGTGTCAAAATTGCCAGTAACGGATGAACAATGAAGAGCCGGAGTAGCAGCATTTTTATGTTAAGCAGAATTTTTTAAATTTTTTTTTTTGTAAAAAAGACATGTTTTGCGCCGGTTCGTGTCCTGGTGGGGGCACTGGGATTTTCTGCGTGGAGTTTGCATGTTCTCCCCGTGCAGCGTGGGTTCTCTCCAGGTTCTCCAGCTTCCTCCCACAAGGTCCAAAAACATGTTGAGGTTAATTGGTGATTCTAAATCGTCCATAGGTGTGAATGTGAGTGTGCTTGGTTGTCTGTCTCTAAGTGTAGCCCTGTGATAGACTGGTGACCTGTCCAGGGTGTCCCCTGCCTTCGCCCTGAGTCAGCAGGGAAATCTGCCATTTTACAAGATTTGTCCTTTTTATTTCCAAATTATTTTCATACTTCTGAATTCCATAAAAATATTAATAAAATCACAATGTTATAAACTATTTGCATTGTATTGTCTTTTCATGTGTTTTTTGTAGTATAAGCAAAATCTAGTTTTATCTTAAATGTATGTCGGGAGGTGGCAAAGTACAAGAAAAATCATTTCATTTCAAGTGTTTACTCAACACAAATGCATATTGTGTGTCTATAACAAAACATTATCCTTACATCTCAACATGCTGATAACACTTTGCAGCATAAATGTGTATGTCTTGAACTTCAAAACTGTATGTGTGTTTTCACAGGGGCATCTATGTCTACACGGGAGGCAGCACCTCAACATTCAGGTAAGTACAGCTGAGTTTTCTACAGCACAGTGTTAAAAAATAACAAACACCCACCAGTTAATGTCAAACTTCAGGTATTCACATATTTTGTCACTGGATTTAAAAAAACAAACCAGGTATCACTTTTGTTAATTCAGTCTTGTCGTATAATTAGAATGTATTGTTTGCTTCCCCTTTAAGCGTTTGCCCGCCGTGTAAAGAAGAGCCTGAGCCATTTGTGAATAAAACGGTGACAAATTGCCTGGACAATGGCAGCTGGAGGATCGGAGTCCTGAAAATGGATGCTGGGTGAGAACCCCTTTTCTTTTGGCTCACAGAGAGGAACAACTGGTTCAAAGAAAAACATGTACAATGTCATGTGTATGTTCCTCCTGGAATGTTATTTTAGTGAATTACGAAGGCACAGCAACACAATGAGACTTTTTTTTTTTGTCTGGTATCCTAGTGTTGTTTCCCTTTATGAAATATAGTTCTGGTTTTGTCTGTCTTTAATGTATTTCTTGTTTTACTTGATGTTTAACTTCACTGTTCTGTGTGTACTGCATTTATCCTGTTTTCAAATTTACCCAATGAATCTCCTCTTTTGCATAAGAAAGTAAAATCTGATCCTTGCTCTTCTTCTCCAGACTGCAGTATCCTCAGCCAAGCACACTGAAAGGGTAAGCTGTTAACAGTATTGTATCTACTGTGCAGTACTAGTTCTTACTTCTTTAAAATCACAAGATTAAATACAATCTTGTGCTCTAAAACATCTCCCTTTGGTGCTTTTGTGACAGTTTAAGAAAAAGCTCATCTTTGATTGGTCATGAACTGAAACATTGGGCTGAAACATTCTGAAATTCTGAGGAGAAAAATGTATTGTGTTGTCATGTTGTTTAACATGAAGATATGACTTTGTTAAATATTTAAGCATCTTATGAAGATAAAACTATGTTCTTCAGAACTGATAACAAAGTATTTAATTTTTTCTGCTTAACAACTATTCATAGAGAGAATTCACATCTAACACAACATGGGAAAATGTAAAGAAATCAGCCACGATATCAGGAAGACAATTGTGGACCTCCACAAGTCTGGTTCATCCTTGGGTACAATTTCCAGATGCCAGAAGGTTGGAGATCGTCGTTTTTTTTTGCTACCTGTCTCTTACTCATGCCAATTTCCAGCAGTACCAAGATGGCTGCCTTTGTGTCTTCGCATAGTTTTTTTGTTTAAGGCATAGTGTGAGAACTGACAACTTGTGAGTTGTGCTATGGTTGGAATGTAAGCAGGAAACCACTCCAGGCCTTTGCGTGTGCAGTGCTGTTTATGGCATGAAATGGCCTCTTATATACCCATCCATCCATCCATCTTCTTCCGCTTACCTGGAGTCGGGTTGCGGAGGCAGCAGCCTTAGCAGAGCCGCCCAGTCTTCCCGATCCACACACACCTCCTCCAGCTCTTCCGGGGGGACCCCTAGGCGTTCCCAGGCCAGTCGAGAGACATAATCTCTCCAATGCGTCCTGGGTCTTCCCCGAGGACTCCTCCCGGTGGGACACGCCCGGAACACCTCCCCAGGGAAGCGTCCAGGAGGCATCCGGAAAAGATGCCCGAGCCACATCAGCTGGCTCCTTTTGACGTGGAGGAGCAGCGGCTCCACTCCAAGCTCCTCCCGCATGACTGAGCTCCTCACCCTATCTCTAAGGGAGCGCCCAGCCACCCTGCAGAGGAAACTCACTTCAGCTGCTTGTATCTGCGATCTTTTTCTTTCGGTCATTACCCAGATCTCATGACCATAGGTGAGAGTAGGAACGTAGATTGACCGACTGCAACACTGCAGACGCTGCACCGATCCGTCTGTCAATCTCACGCTCCATCCGCCCCTCACTTGTGAACACGACCCCGAGATACTTGAACTCCTCCACTTGAGGCAAGGACTCTCCACCGACCCAGAGAGGACAAGCCACCTTTTTCCAGTCGAGAATGATGGCCTCGGATTTGGAGGTGCTGATCTATCCTGCTCGCCTCACACTCGGCTGCAAACCGCCCCAGTGCACGCTGAAGGTCCTGATTTGATGTAGCCAACAGAACATCATCTGCAAACAGCAGAGATAAAATTCTGTGGTTCCCAAACCAAACCCCTTCCTCTCCCTGGCTGCGCCGAAAAATTCTGTCGATAAAAATAATGAACAGAATCGGTGACAAAGGACAGCCCTGGCGGGGGCCAACGCGCACTGGGAACAGGTCTGACTTATGACCAGCAATGCGAACCATGCTCCTGCTGCGGTCGTAAAGGGAACGGACAGCCCTTAACAGAGGGCCCCGTACCCCATACTCCCGAAGAACCCCCCCACAGGACGCCACGAGGAACACGGTCCAACGCCTTCTCCAGATCCACAAAGCACATGTGGACTGGTTGGGCAAACTCCCATGAGCCCTCGAGCACCTGATGGAGGGTATAGAGGTAGTCCATTGTGCTGCGACCGGGACGAAAACAAGACTGCTCCTCCTGAATCCGAGGTTAGACTATTGGTCAGATCCTCCTCTCCAGTACCCTAGACTAGACCTTAACGGGGAGGCTGAGGAGTGTGATCCCTCTGTAGTTGGAACACACCCTCTGGTCCTCCTTCTTAAACAGAGGGACCACCACCCCGGTCTGCCAATCCAGAGGCACTGTCCCCGACCGCCACCCGATGTTGCAGAGACGTGTCAACCAGGACAGTCCCACAACATCCAGAGACTTAAGGTATTCAGGACGGATCGCATCCACCCCTGGAGCTTTGCCACCGAAGAGCTTTCTAACCACCTTGGTGCCTTCAGCCCGGGTGATGGACGAGTCCGCCTCTGAGTCCACAGTCTCTGCTTCCTCTTTGGAAGACGTGACGGCGGGATTGAGGAGACCCTCGAAGTATTCCTTCCACCACCCGACGACCTCCTCAGTCAAGGTCAGGAGGTCCTCACCCACACCGTAGACAGTGCTGGTGGAGAGCTGCTTTCCCCTCCTGAGGCGCCGGACGGTTTGCCAGAACAACAACCCAACAACCAGAGGCTGTGTATGCGGACCAGGCTGCTGAGGCAGCCCCCCCTCGACCACCACCCAGTCCTGTCTGCACTCTATCCCTATGACTCCCTTTGTGGGTGGTGAGTCCACAGGAGGCCTCTTTTATACCCTGGGAATACAATTAAGCTTAAGCATGTCAGATAGGACATAAAGTATGATGTAAGCTGCATTTTTTTTGTTGTTCATTGTATTCTTCAGGTAGTATACCTTTAGTGGTACGAGGCATTAAAATGCACAAGAAATTGAAGAAAATAAGGATGATCTAATATGTTTTTCCATGATTGTATGTATACAGTTTGAATGCTATAAGCTCAATTTTTGAATTTTTCGTTTTTTCAGACGCACTGATGTGAACTCGGTGACCAACTGGAACGCTCCTCTGGTTTGGGAGGGAACCTTTGATCCAGTGGTGATTGATAATATCTATCGGAAAATAAACCCAAGAATTGCTGTGGTGGTTTCTGCTGTTGGCAAGTAAGTACACAGGATATTCTCACAGGACACTATGGGAACGTGGTTTCATCTCACCCACTGTAAAGTGCTTAACAAATTTGTTGTTGTTTTCTGTTGTGTATTATTTCTTATGTTGACTTTCTTGTTTCATACTAATTGACAGAGTTTCTGCCTTGTTTCTTTCTATCCAATCAGATATATCAGTTTCCTGAAGGATTTCCTGGAGTCGAGTGAAAAGTACTTTCTTGTTGGCTTCAGAGTCACTTACCATGTCTTCACAGATAATGAACAAGAAGTTCCCAAAGTAAGTTGTGTAGAAAACACAGCTGAACATAGACCCATTGGACAAAGACAAGCCACAAAATAGTCTTTCTGGTCTGTACTAGTTTGTACAGAAGCTGTTTGCTCTTAGATGGCTTTCAGTGTTTCAGGAAAGTTGGTCAATCTCGCTCCATTGTTAAATTGCTTTCAGTGCTCCACTGTTCATTAGTGTGTGGAAGCAGATTGTTGTCCGATATTTCTTGCATACATATTAAACACTTCAAGCTTGTTGAGACATCGAGGTGACAACTGGGAGGTTAATTTAAAAAGTAATGGCACACCTCATACAGCATTATTAGATGGCTTGGTCACACCTCTGTACTGTTCAATATATGACAACAGTCTCTGGGAGGTGATTGGAAATGCCCATCATGAAAGGGAGAAAGAACTTTCTTGAGAAACTCTTGCTGAACACACTGAGCTGTCTGAAGGAAAAATAAGAAGCTGAAGCAATGCAAGCTGCAAAGAATTAAATTCCCTGCATCCAAGGATCAGGTTCCAAACCAAAAACATCAACTCTGTTGTGTCTGAAAGAAGGAATGCTGGCAGCTATGGAACAACATAGACTAAACTTTACCACAGGTATTAAGTACTTCAGGGATTACTGACAGCTGAGGAATTCTGTATATCAAATTTAACTGGCAAGACACCACTGAATCACTCCCCTCTGATGACCTCAATAATTCTGTTCTTCTTTCTGCCGTCAAATGTTTCGTGATGAGATTCCATTTGTAATTTTCTCTTTTTATTTGATTGTTCAGATTGCACTGGGCGAGGGTCGGAAGATTTCAGTTGTCACCGTCCCCAGTGCCAAGCGCTGGCAGGACGTAGTATTTGGCAGGATGAAATGGATAGCTGTCACCATTGACAAACAGGTGAGAAGTGAAACACATGACAAGGACAACACACAACAAGAAAGCAATTGATTTTAGCATGTGGTTAAAAATAAAACTGAGCAGTGAGGATTGTAAAGCATCAGGTGCTGTAGCCAGGATGCACAGTTATTACAAAGAAGAGGCTTTACTAACAGCTATTACTGGACATTTTGTTTAGCAGTGTCCACGTGAGGTATTTAATCTGACAACACACGTGCCGTGCTTTTAGATCCGCGGTGAGGCCGATTATCTTTTCATGATTGACGTCGACAGTGTCTTCCACAACCGGTTTGGAGCAGAGAGTCTCAGTCAGCTGTCTGCTGTCCTTCACCGTGGCTACTACCAGGTTTTACTCTTTTCTTCATCATAATTATCTCAAGTTGAGAAACCTTCAGTCTCTTCATAATAATGTAATCTGGTGTGTATTTTTTACACACCAGCTGCCTCATTTTCTGATCTGCCACAGCACTTTCTGCCAGCACAAGTGTGAGCTAAAGTCTCTTCCCATTTTTCAATGCTTCTTTTATTTTCTGTCATTTCTCAGAGTACAAGAAGGGAGGACTTTCCATATGAGCGTCGTCCTAAGTCCAAGGCCTATATCCCTTCTCATGAAGGAGACTACTACTACACTGCAGCTATGGCGGGGGGATACCTGGAAGACATGTACAAGCTCGTCAAGTAACCAAAACCATATGATCCTATATGTTATTTTAAAGACAAGATACAGTGAAGCTTAATAGACGGCAGTACCCCAGGCATTCAGATACTATTTTTAAAAACCTTCGTCACTGTAAGACCTTACTTGTTTTTTGTGGTTGTTGTTTTTATTTTTTTTTGTGTTGTTGTTGTTTTTAATGTCTTTTAGGACAACTTCTTGTCTCAGAGTTCTACTGCACGTCTTTTCTTGTCAGATACTGTTATGAGCAGTCGGAGGAAGACGCCAAGAACAACATTGAAGCAGTGTGGCAGGATGAAAGTCACCTCAACAAGTACAGTGTTGCAGTTCACTTCCTCACTTTTGTACTTTCTTGGATTGTTCCTGTTTTGAAAGTACATATTCACATACATGTTGACACTATATTTCCAGCAAATCATATCCCATATCTGCCCATCTCTCTGTCTTGCAGGTACTTCTTGTACAACAAACCAACAAAGGTGCTGTCTTCAGAATACCTGTGGTCAGACTATGATGCAATAAAACCAGAAATTAAAGTGGTCAGGATCTCCCACGTGGTAAAGGACTATGCGAAGGTGCGGCCCAACGGTGGAATGTGATGCCACATCAATGATTTTTAAGAAGTAAAACCTTTTTGTAATGATAAAAATTGGATTACATGTATGGATTTCTTTCTTCAGTTTGTGTACTCGAAGGGTCTAAAACTGAACAGTACAAAACAGACAATCTAGGTTTTTATAGTAAACCCTATCACTTCTAATTTCTTGCTGTAAGATGTATACGTAAGGCCACATATTCCCCCTCTAGTGTTGTTTAAGCACACCCGCACACTCTGGATAGACTTTATTTGCAGCAGAAATGTTTTGATTTGACAACATGTCTTCTGCAGTGGCAGAAAGTGTGGTGTCAATGTGTAGATGTTTGATATATGTTTGAACAAACTACACTGTGTTTTTGTATGGATATTGCTTTGTTGTAAAGTGTGAAATAAACTATACTTTTTGTGTCCTCTTGCATCCACTTACCTGGTGTCCTTCTACACATCGCAACAGCTCTGCTGGATCAGCAGCTTTCCACTAGAAACATGGATGCTTATCCTCAAAGTTATTTTAACAACCTCAATCTCATTTATTTGCTTCCTATGGTAGTTAATCTTGTCTTTTATATACAGTCTGTTCACTTTCCGCAAAGCACCCCATTTTAATGGATGGAAGAATGAACTCGGAACATTCACAAAATCTCTTCACTGAATGAAAATCAAAGATGCCCAAAGATTTTTTCCCTTGATGGACTTATTCATGTTGCTTAACTGTGTTTTTCTGTAGAGCTACCTCAACACTTTGAAAATGTCTTTGCAACGTTTCTATATGCCATGTCTGTGTTTTGTTTTTTTTTGTTTTTTTTACATTCAAAGAGACCAATACAATTTAGTAAAACAAAAACAACGTTTCACAAACCACACATACGGCTGTCAGGCCGCGCCGCGTGTTTACGACAGTGTCGTAAAGCGCCAATGTTGTGGTCGGAAATCTGACCAGTCGTCCTCTGAGCTGAGCTTTCAGTCGCCCTTCAACCAGCACAGAGAGCGTGCGTTTCCCGGCTGAAACAGACACTGGCCTAACGCTCAACCATGGCAGGCACTATTGCACGGAAAGCCATTGACCACCTGAGGAGCAAAGAGTTCCGGGATTATTTGACGAGGTACGTGCTCGAAGCTGCTGCACGTCTCTGTTAGCACGGATGCTAACGGAGCGAGCTGGCTGCCGACAGCTCTTCAAGTGTCGTTAGCTCGTGTTGTACAGAGAAAGCCTCAAGTTACTGTCCTGTTCTGTCCAACCAACGTCTTCATGTAATTTTATGGCCATTTTAAACGACTGTTGTGTCGGTGTTTCATCCTTTGGCGTCGTTTTTTGCCCCCTAGTTTAGGTAGCTAGTGTTCAAGGACGATTGTGTTTACTACAGTAGCGCTGAGTTACTTTTACTCTCCAGTTTATTAGACTGACTGTAAATATAGAGAAGACTTCAGATAAAATACGTCATTTACTTTAGATAAGATACGTCTTTTCCTTGTTTATATGTTGTCAGTCGTTCAACAAACACTCAGTTGGCATATCTGGAAAGTGGGTCGTAACTCGTTTCATAAGGTGACAGCTACTTACAAATCCTACTTCAGAGGTAATGTTATGCAGAATAAACCACCTTTATCACTTTTTCTCAAGACACTGGTTAATGTGTACATGATGCTCTGGTGGTGTGTACGCTGGCCACAGATTAACCACGACTGAAATGTAGAGTAAAGGCCAAATCCTGACACAGTGATGCATGATGTTTGCATTCATCATAGATGCTCAAGATGTTTGTCTCAGTGATTTCTGGAGAGGATTGAATCTGCACAGAAAATAAATAAGTGGATTTATAAAAAAGCCATTTGGAATATTTCTCATACGGTGTGACACTGGCAAATGGACCAATAATATGTTTTTGCTTTGGTTGACATTCAGATCTAACTTTTTACTCATCATATGACTCCAGAGGATTGTAGTCCTGATTTAAATGATTTTTAAAGTTAGCTGTCTCGTCTAAATGCAGCAGTTGTGAGGTACTGCTGGTAGAGTACTTGTCTTTTGGTCAACATCATCGTTTCTGCTGCTAAAATACTTCCACACATCTAACATCGTGTTAGTTTTTGAAAACAAAACTTTCTTTTCAGTATTTCTCTCCTTTTCGTTGATATTTTACTGTACACATAGAGTGACTGCATGTCAACAAACTCAATGTCTTTAAGATGAATTAAAAAAAAAAAATTGAATGTATCTGGGGTTGCAAGGTGGGTCAGTGGTTAGCATCGTTGCCTCGCAGCAAGAAGGTCGCTGGTTCGCGTCCCGGTGAGGACACCCAGGATCTTTCTGCGTGGAGTTTGCGTGTTCTCCCTGTGCAGTGTGGGTTCTCTCCGGGTTCTCTGGCTTCCTCCCACACAGTCCAAAAACATCCACCCATCCATCCATTATCTACACAACCCTTAATCCTCACTAGGGTCACGGGGGGCTGGAGTCTATCCCAGCTGACTTAGGGTGAAGGCAGGGGACACCCTGGACAGGTCACCAGTCTATCACAGTTCCCAAAGACTCTGCTTCAGTTTTGTGTTGTTTTAGACCATACAATGCACAAAGCATTTCCTGCACTGACTGTTGCTTTGCGCAATATCACTTTCCAAAGCAAAGTCTGTGATCTGACTGCGATGTTGATGCTGAAACAATATAATGTGCGTCCCTTGCCTTGGGCTTGTTTACCTTTGGCTCAAGGCTGTTTGTGGTGGTGTATTCTGTCACTCTGCACACACCATTTTCTATACACCGCTTAATCCTCATTAGGGTCGCGGGGGGGCTGGAGCCTATCCCAGCCGACTTAGGGCGAAGGCAGGGGACACCCTGGACAGGTCACCAGTCCATCGCAGGGCCACACTTAGAGACAGACAACCAAGCACACTCACATTCACACCTACGGACAATTTAGAATCACCAATTAACCTCAACATGTTTTTGGACCTCGTGGGAGGAAGCAGGAGAACCCGCTGCACGGGGAGAACATGCAAACTCCACACAGAAAGATTCCGGTGCCCCCACCGGGACGCGAACCGGCAACCTTTTTGCTGCGAGGCAACAGTGCTACCAACTGCGCCACCTTGCAGCCCTCTGTACACACCAGTTTGTGTTATGAATGTTGTGGCTGCCAGCTCAGTATCCAGGGACTAAAATGCCATGTCTTTCATTGTGCTCTAATTCAGTGATGTGAAAATAAAGCAGATTATTTTACCCACTGTAAGACCGGAGTTCTTTACATCTGTTCCCGTCAGTTCCTAAAACAGATCTGTGACCTGTTTCGTGACGCTGTGTGACCTAGCTTTATCAGAATGGCTTATGTCTAATGATCTTATTTTTTTTCCTCTTTTATGTGGCACCAAAACAAACCCCCCAAACATTCAACAGCACGGTGAGTCCACATCCTTTCTGTCAGTCTACCTGCTTCTGTTGGTGTCTCTTCTCATTAGTGATTGCCTGTAGTTTTATCTGAGCTTACTATATTTGACTATTTGCTCTTCACATATAATACATTTAACCATTTCAGCATGTGGGTGTATCATTTTCTAATCTTCACTGTCATACTCGTGTCTATTGTATTTCTGACCATTAGTTTTTATTACATGAATCACTGTACACGTTTTTACCAGTTAGCATACAGTTCCTCTCTACTGCATGAGCAGCTGATGATAAATGCCCAAACTATGATTTGTCACTTTTGCAGCATTTCTGGGGTCCTGTAGCAAACTGGGGCCTTCCAATAGCTGCCATCACAGATATGAAGAAGAGCCCTGAAATCATCAGTGGCAGGATGACCTTCGGTAAGACATGCAGACGCATGTACAAATACATGCAGTGTACATATAGTACTTGTTTGCTTTTCTAGTCAACATTGTTTGAGTTTGTAAAGTTTACATTTTACCTGAAATCTAATTTGACACAGAAGAGAAGTGCAGCTCTAGTTCTTGTCAGTCACGTAGAATGTTTCTTGTAAATGTCCCTTTTACATGTCCTCAGTTTTTGATACTTATTATCCATATATATGAACATTTTGTACTATTAATTAATTCTGATTTGGGGAAGGGGCAGGTCTACGTGACATAATTATATTAAATATTAGAGTATGGAGTGTGACGCATTTCGTTGTTTGAGAAGAAGACAGTTGTGTAATAAACCTCTGCTCGCGTGTTGTCTCTCTCCTCTCAGCTCTGTGCTGTTACTCGCTGCTCTTCATGAGGTTCGCGTACAAGGTGCAGCCGCGCAACTGGCTACTGTTTGCCTGCCACCTGACCAACGAGTCAGCGCAACTTATTCAGGCTAGTCGTCTCATCAAGTTTAAGTGAGTAATGGTTTATTTTTCATCTTATTTGTTGCCATCGCAAACAGATCATGTGTCATTAAAGGCTCTGTGGGCAAGTGTTGTGTCGTTCGCTAAGCCAGTCCACAGTCATGGAGTCAGACCATTAAATGTAAGAGCTCAGAATAAAATCTTTACATGGGCTCAGTCCTGGTATATATAGTATTATAATTTGTTTGCATTTTCAAATGTGGTTCATGTTCTTCTTTTTTTGTGAAGGCAGTTTCAACCAAAAAATGTTGTCTTTCTTTTCGGTGTTTTTTAATGTAGCACTTAGGTTTGCAACCACAAATTTGTAACCAGATAAACAGTTCACCAAAGAGCGAAGATGAAAAGCAGTGTTAGCAAAGTAAAGCTCACGCCTCCAACACTTGACACGAGCCTTATGATAACAAGACTGATTGATTGATTGA